CTCCCTGCTCGTCAGGGAGTCTGCTTCTCCCTCTGACCCTCCTCCCTCTCATGCTCTCTGTCTCTCATTCTCTCTGTCTCAAATAAATAAATAAAATCTTTAAAAAAAAAAAAAAAAAGAAAGGAGGAATTCAACCAAAGCTTACACTGCAAGGCAGGCTACTGAAGTCCGGTTTTATATATACGACATGAGACTCCCCATTTTTTCTCTCCGCTCCCTAACAATTAATCTTCGTTGGTTTAGTTCATTTTATCAAATGTTAATAATTTTGTAGGCAATAGACAAAAAAAAGGTAACCCTACAGGCCTAGAAGTGAATTTGTCTAAAACTAATTTTCCTATCAAGTCATTCATTAAAATATGAGCGTTTGGGGAGTGATTCCCCAACAACAAAACTGGTGGATAAGAAATAATTCCTTGAAGAATTCATTCAGGAAGTAATAATTCTGTGTATTTCTGTTTAGACAGAGCTCTGGCATCTTTACCTTATTTAAAACTTGGTTAAATTGACACATCTGACAAAGGATAAAAGGCAATACATGTTTTATAGTATTCTAAAATGATGAAACTCACATGCCTCGTTCTCTCAGACAAATCAAGTTGCTCCAAGTAATTCTGTACCAAATGTCTGCAAAGCTTATTTTAGTACATAAAAATCAATACTACAAGGGTACTGATACTTCAGGGAAAGAAGAGTTTTTGCAACAAATGGTGCTGGTTATTAACATGCAAAAGGCTGAAGATGGACCCCTTCCTTACACCGTACACAAAAAGTAACTCAAACAGATCACAGACCTCAGTACAAGAAAACTATTAACACTCTTATAAGAAAACAGAAGTAGGGGCGCCTGGGTGGCTCAGTCGTTAAGCATCTGCCTTCGGCTCAGGTCATGATCCCAGGGTCCTGGGATCGAGCCCCGCATCGGGCTCCCCACTCAGCAGGAAGCCTGCTTCTCCTTCTCCCACTCCCCCTGCTTGTGTTCCCTCTCTCACTGTATCTCTCTCTGTCAAATAAATAAAATCTTTAAAAAAAAAGAAAACAGAAGTAAATCTCCATAACCTTCGTGGCTTCTTAGATACTATCCCCAAATCATAAGTGTCAAATGGCCGATACGCACATGAGAGATGCTCGACATTATCAGTCATTAGGAAAACCCAAACTGAAACCAAAATGAAATGCCCCTTCACACATGCTAGAATGGTTACAATGACAAAGACAGGCAGTAACCAGGATATGAAGAAACCGGAACCCACAGACGTTGCTGTTGACAATGTAAAATAGTGCAGCTGGTTTGGAAGAATCTGGCTTTTCCTCAAAATGCTAAACATAGAGCTACCAATGACCCAGCAATTCCACTCCTCGGCAGCTATCCAAGAGGAATGAAAACACATCCATCTAATAACTTCCATGTGAGGGTTCATAGCAGCATTATTCATAATAGTCATAAGGTGAAAACAACCCCACAGTCTAGCAACTGAAGAATGAATAAATGAAATGCAGAATAGCAATACACTGGACTATTACTTGGCCGATAAAAGGAATAAAATACTGACCTACTACAACACAGATGAACCATGAAAACATTAAGGGAAAGAAGACAGTCACAAAAGACCAAGGATTGTATAATTTCATTTGTAAGAAATGTCCAGAATAGGGGCACCTGGGTGGCTCAGTTGGTTAAGCGTCTGCCTTCAGCTCGGGTCATGATCACAGGGTCCTGGGATCCAGTCCCATGTTGGGCTCCCTGCCCAGCGGGGAGTCTGCTTCTCCCTCTGCCTCTGCCCCTCCCCCTGCTCATGCTCTCTCTCGCACACAAATAAAATCTTTAAAAAAAATTGTCTAGAATAGGTAAATCTACAGAGACAGAAAGTAAATCAGTGGTTGCCTAGGGCTGAGGAGTGTGACTGGGGAACACAGGGACTGCTTTTGAGTATGGGGTTTCTTTCTGGGGTGACAAAATTGTTCTAAAACTTAGATTGTGTTGATAGGTACACAACTGTGTGAACACGCTAAAGAACACTGAATTGTACACTTTAAATGGATGAATTTTATAGTTTGTGAATTGTATCTTTTTTTTTAAGATTTTATTTATTTATTTGAGAGAGAGAATGAGAGAGCGAGAGCACATGAGAAGGGGGAGGGTCAGAGGGAGAAGCAGACTCCCTAGCCAGATGTGGGACTCAATCCCGGGACTCCAGGATCATGACCTGAGCCGAAGGCAGTCGCCCAACCAACTGAGCCACCCAGGTGCCCTGTGAATTGTATCTTAATGAAGCTGTTAAACATGTTTCTCTGTGGATGTACGGCATTAAAAGGAGCACTTCTTGTGCACTATTATTTGACCCACTAATGCTCTCGTTCCTAGCCTTCATTAAGGAGGTCATTTATTTACATATTTTTCTTTTATTTTTTTATTTATTTATTTTTTAGAGAGGGAGGAGGAGGTGGGGCAGAGGGAGAGGGAGACAGAGAATCTTAAGCAGGCTCCATGCCAGCCTGGAACCCAACGGGGGGCTCAGTCTCAAGATCCTGAACCTGAGCTGAAATCAAGAGTCAGATGCTCAACCGACTGAGCCACCCAGGCGCCCCTCGAGTAAATGCCTTTCAAATGAACTGTAATGTAACTCCAAATATACATTTAGCATACAGATGTCAGCTGTTAAAAAACAGATCCATGTTCCCTCATGTCTCTCTCTCTCCCCCCAAAACCCAACCAATTCCAGAAATATCTCCTTATCATTTAAGTATTCGCATCTTTCCTGAGGTTATTGCATCTCCACTCCAGAAATGGGACACTGAGCAGGATTTGCACCTGCAGGGAAAGGGACTATATTTTCACTGAGGAATGTGTCATCCTTTTACTTTCCCAGTGAAATGGTTCAGTGATGTTAAGTATGTGGGAAAAGGCTCATTGTCAAGATAAGCATCAATAAGCACCTTTTCACTTCCTTGATTATCTGAATATTAAATCCATGGCTAAGTTCCAGTATTGAGGCATTGGGTTTTTACAAGGTGGACACCAAATTGTTCTTATGGGGCATGTTGATTGTCTAAGGCATGGATCAAATGTATCATATGCTGTCTCTCCTGTGTAAGTGATTTGCAAAATATGTTTTAATTAAAAATAAAAAAGCACACATCCAATAACCAAATCTCTTAAAAGGCTATCCTGAATAGCAACTGTAAAGATTCAGGCTACCAATTTACTGATTCCATTCTTTTAAATCCATTTTAATTGGACCTACTAACTCCTGTTTGTAAAAGCATTAAATTTCTAACTTTAGACACCCCAGCAAAAATCAGGGGCTGGCTGTCTCTGCTCACTGGGCAAATGGATGTTGAGAAGAAAAGCTAGGTAAGGACTTTGCGAGAAATCATTCCTCCTATTGGACTTAGTACCCTTTGGTTCCCTGATTTTTTCAAAGAGGTGGAGAGCATCTGCCCCGATCGGAACCCCTGTAACACTGCTCACTCTTTACGTCGTCGCTAAAGTGGGGATACCACCGACTAGCTTCTGCGAGCGCCCAGCGGGGTCGTGTCTGTAACCCCAGCACAGTGCCGGCCCCGGCGTCAGGAGCGGCCTGGGCGCAGCTCCCGGCAGCCGAGCGCGCTCGGCACCTGCAGGGCCGGCCCAGGCCTAGCGAGCCTGGGGCGAGGGGCCCAGAATGGGCAGTCGAGGAGCTCGGCCGATCTTCCGTGCGCCGGTCCTCGCGGCCGCCGAGCGGGAGGGATGGGGCCCACGCGCGGGTCCGGCCTCCCGGCGCCCCGAGCTCGCAG